CGGCTGGCGGTGATGTTGTAATGTAAAAGCCTGTATCCGGCTGTGTAAAGAATGTGGAGAGCCAAAATTGGGTGTCAACAAGTAGCCCCTTTCTTTGTCCATGGAAGAGAGTAAAGAAGACATGGACAAAAAAATATTGACACAATCCAATTTTAGGTGACCCACCAAAATACACTTTGAGAAATAACTTGACAAGAATGTTTATGGAGTTATGACCGAACTCTGGCTCCTGAGTTGCCTACATATCTCAGGTTTCATGAGAAATCATGCCATATGTAGTTCGAGAACTTAGCAAATTTTTATTAAAAATTTGCCCCAGTATCGAATTATGGTAATACTGAAATCTCTTGGTGGTGAGGTATGAAGAGATTAGCACGAATAGAGGGTTGAGATATAGTTCTAAAGAAACTTGAATGAGAAATGCTCTGTAGCAATTTCTACCGAAGACTCAAGGTAGATAGATGAATTTTCAAAAGGATGCCCCAGTGTCGAGTTGCAATGAACTGAGACATGAAAGAGCTATAAGTGAAATTTGAATCTAAACTTCTAAAAATCGAGTCGAGTCGAGTTTTGAGAGTGAATCCTTGACGTAGCTAGTGATGCTTGACATTGCACTAACTTGCCCTAGTTGCTGCTTAGAGGGAGTTCCTCGTTGTAATGCGTTGTCCTTCAAAACATGTAAAAAGGTGAAAAGTACCTGTTGCGGTTCAAAAAATTATAAAATTGAATAGTAATGTAAAGAGTAGAGTGTAGATGTTCAGACGACTGTTGACGTCTCTTTTTGTGTTGTAAGTGTGATGTAGGTAAAGTAACTTGTAATGTAGAGGCCCTCGACTGGCGGGGCGGTTGTTAGGTAAAAGACTGCATCTGGCTGTGTAAAACTTGTAATGTAAAGCCTTCGGCTGGCGGGGCTGTTGTAATGTAAAAGCCTGTATCCGACTGTGTAAAGCTTGTAATGTAAAGCCTCCGGCTGGCGGTGATGTTGTAATGTAAAAGCCTGTATCCGGCTGTGTAAAGCTTGTAATGTAAATCCTCCGGTTGGCGGGGTGTTATAATGTAAAAGCTTGTATCCGGCTGTGTAATGCTTGTAATGTAAAGCCTCCGGCTGGCGGGGCTGTTGTAATGTAAAAGCCTGTATCCGGCTGTGTAAAGATTCTAATGTAAATTTAATTGTCGGCGTGTGACAGCGTTTCTATACGTGCCTGCCCCCGATCGATGGAGCTTCAGTGACGTCACTACGATGTGGTCTCCGATTGGCGGAGTTCGATCGATGTTTGCTATGTACAACCTCCGGGTGGCGGAGTTTGACGATGTTTGCTATGTACAGCCTCCGATTGGCGGAGTTTGACGATGTTTTCTATATACAGCCTCCGATTGGCGGAGTTTGAAGCTGTTAGATGATGGTCTCCGATTGGCGGAGTTGCTGATGAGGTTAGATTACAAGCTCCAGTTGGTGGAGTTATTTTGAAAGAAAGCTAACTATCTTATTTTCCTACGAGGATCCTCTTTTCTTCAACACTTGATCCGGATCTTGAGCGTTCTTTTAAAAATTTAAATGAAATATTCTAAGACATAAGATGAAAGTTGAAGTACTTCGGGAAAATAAAGTAGGGAAAGAGTATTTTGGCTCATGATTGTGAGAAGTCGAATGGCGTGTCTAGTCATACCCCAAAACTTGATGTTATTTTCTTGATTCCTGCGTTCCTGCACTCAAAGAAAATTTTAGTTTGGGAGGGGGTGTTGATTTGTATCGACTCGCAGACTGAAGCCTCGTCACTGGAATTCTTCGACATCTTCTTAGTACCGCACATAGTTTCTTAACCTAGAGACTTGGTAGGTGGATGAGTAGAAAAATATTGTTGAAAATAATTAGCTTGTTTATCCAGAAAATAAGTATACTATGTATATTAGGTGTGTGTATATATATATATATGTATAGATTGTAATTCTCCAGCGCTTTTAGATTATGACATGTTCTGAAGTCCATCGAGCTTTCCATTTTGTTGACTTTATCTAACATAGTCCTCCTGTAGCTTTTACCTTTCTGATGAAGCTTTCCTAGCTCTTTTGAAGGCACTGCAACGATTAATATTCTTCAACATTCTGAGGTTACGCTAACTATGAGGAAGTGTTTCCTAAGGGTAAGTAAAGAAGAAAATAAAAATAAAAATTATGCAATGCATCGATCGAGCCTGACTCAGGTTGCCTACGTATCCCCAAGATAGGAATTAGATCGTAACATAGTTCGAATACAAGTAGGAGAAATAGAAGTATGTAATGCAATGACCGAGCTTGACTCAAGCTGCCTACGTATCCAAGTGGAATCAGGTCGTAACGTAGTTCGAATACAAGAGGAAAGTGAAAAATATGAAATGTAATGACGGGCCTGACTCAGGCTGCCTACGTATCCAAGAGGAATCAGGTCGTAGCGTAGTTCGATTACAATAGGAAAGTGAAAAATATGACATGCAATGTAAGAACATGTAATGTAGTGACCGAGATTGACTCAAGCTGCCTACGTATACAAGTGGAATCAGGTCATGACATAGTTCAAATACAATAGGAAAGTGAAAAATGCAAGGGACCGAATCCGACAAGGATTGCCTACGTATCCCACCGAGGGAATTCAGGTCGAGCGTAGTTCGAATACATGGAAATGACGATTTTGGGTTTTCTAAGGGAGACCAGATCCGATGTGGGTTGCCTACGTACCCCACCGTGGGAAGTCAGGTCTATACGTAGTTCTGTTACATCAAAAATGCAAAAGTACACAAAATAAGTGCTAATCTTGAGGTCTTCAGATGTAGTATTTCTTGATGGCGTCTGAATTGATTAGCTTTGTGCTCACTCTGCCATCCATTTCTGCTAAGATTACCGCTCCTCCTGAGAGTACTCTATGAACCATGTAAGGTCCTTGCCAATTTGGTGCAAATTTCCCTTTGGCTTCTCCTTGGTGAGGAAAGATCTTCTTCAATACTAATTGCCCCGGTGTGAACTGTCGAGGTTTGACCTTCTTGTTGAACGCGTTGGTCATTCTGTTTTGATTGAGTTGGCTATGACAAACCGCATCTATCCTCTTTTCATCTATGAGCATCAATTGTTCATTCTTGCTACGTATCCATTCTGCTTCGTCCAGACCAACCTCTTGGATAACCCTTAAAGATGGTATTTCCACCTCAGCGGGTATTACTGCTTCTGAACCATAAACCAACATATAAGGAGTTAGCCCAGTTGATGTTCTGATTGTGGTGCGATAACCGAGTAGAGCTTATGGTAACTTCTCATGCCATTGCATGTGACTATCCACTATTTTCCTTAAAATCTTCTTGAGCCTCAACTGCCCCATTCATCTGTAGGCGGTAAACCGTGGAATTTCGACGAGCAATCTTAAACCTTTCACAAGTTTCTTTCATAAGATCGCTGTTGAGGTTGGCCGCATTATCTGTTATGATTGATTATGGATTTCCAAACCGACAAACTATGTTATTGCGAACAAAGTCTACCACTACCTTCTTAGTCACTGCCTTGTATGTCGAAGCTTCGACCCATTTTGTGAAATAATCGATAGCCACCAGGATGAAACGATGTCCATTTGATGCGGGAGAATCTATGGGTCCAATAACATCCATGCCCCAAGCGGCAAATGGCCAAGGGGAACCCATCACATTGAGCTCATTCGGTGGAACCCGTATAAAATCTCCATGCACTTGACACTGACACTTTTGCACATACCGGATGCTATCTCTCTCCATGGTCATCCAAAAAAATCCAACTCTTAAAATCTTCTTTGCCAAAGTGAACCCATTCATGTGAGGTCCACATGTTCCTGCATGTATTTCTTCCAAAAGCCTTGTCGCTTCTGCGGCGTCGACGCACCTTGTCGCTTCTACAGCGTCGACACACCTCAGCAATCCCAAATCCGAAGTTCTCCTATATAGAATTTCGCCGTTAAGGAAGAAATGATTGGCCATCCTCCTCAAAGTTCGTTTCTGCTTGCTTATAGCATTTTTAGGATATTCTTGTGCTCCTATCAATCTTCTGATGTCATAGTACCAGGGTTTCCATCCAGTTCCTCATCTACATGAAAATAATATGCATGTTGATCATGTATCTCTATATTGATAGGGTCGATGTAATTCTTGTTTGGGTGTTGGCATGTTGATCATGTATCTCTATATTGATAGGGTTGATGTAATTCTTGTCTGGGTGTTGAATCATCGAGGACAATGTTGCCAAAGCATCGGCAAACTTCATTTTTGAGCTCAAGGGACATGCTTGAACTCAATCCTTGTGAATCTCCTACTCAACTCTTTAATGCAATGCAGATAAGGCAGGATCTTGACATTCTTAGTGGTCCATTCTCCTTGCACCTGGTGAACCAATAAGTCAGAATCTCCGATCACCAAAAGTTCTTTGATGTTCATGTCGATGGCCATCCTGAGTCCAAGAATACTCGCTTTATATTCCGCTATGTTGTTGGTACAATAAAACCTGATCTTGGCTGAGATCGGGTAATACTGACCTGTTTCCGAAATTAAAACTGCTCCTATTCTAACTTCCATAGAGTTTGATGCTCCATCAAAGAACATTCTCCATCCATCATATGACTCTGATATGTCTTCTCCTACAAACAAAACCTCTTCATCAGGGAAGTAGGTTGTGAGTGGCTTGTAATCCTGGTCCACCGGGGTTTCTGCGAGGTGATCAGCCAGGGCTTATCCTTTGATGGCCTCTTGTGTCACATACACATTATCAAACTCGCTCAACAAAATTTGCCACTTCGCCAGTTTACCCGTAGGCATGGGCTTCTGAAAGATGTACTTTAGTGGATCCATTCTTAAGATCAGGTACGTGGTGTATGCAGATAGGTAATGCCTAAATTTTTGGATCTATTCTTGAGATCAAGTACGTGGTGTATGCAGACAGGTAATGCCTAAATTTTTGCGCAATCCAAGTCAAAGCGCAACATGTTCATTCCAACAACGTGTATCTTGCCTCGTATAGTGTGAACTTCTTGCTCAAATAGTAAATAGCTTGCTCTCTTCTACCTGTCTCATCGTGCTGCCCCAATACACATCCAAATGCATTATCCATGACAGATAGAATAATTCTATTGAAAGCCCTTTGCATTCCTCTGTCCATTTTGTTGAAGCATCCTTCTTCAGTAACTTGAATATGGGTTCGCAGATCACTGTAGATTGAGCTATGAACCGACTGATGTAATTCAGTCTTCTCAAGAAAATCATCACGTCCTTCTTGGTCTTGGGTGGAGGTAGCTCTTGTCTAAGAAACTCATCACGTCCTTCTTGGTCTTGGGTGGAGGTAGCTCTTGGATTGCCTTTATCTTTGATGGATCCAACTCTATGCCTTTCCTGCTAACAATGAATCCCAATAGTTTTCCCGCGGGTACTCCAAATGCACACTTTGCTGGATTCAACTTTAGATTATACTTACGCAACCTCTCGAAGAACTTTCTTAAGTCATCCAGGTGGTCTGAACTTCTTTTGGATTTGATAACGACATCATCTACGTACACTTCAATTTCCTTGTGGATCATATCGTGAAAAAGGGTAGTCATGGCCCTCACGTAGGTTGCACCGGCATTTTTGAGACCAAATGGCATTACTCTGTAGCAATACACTCCCCATGGAGTGATAAACGCTGTCTTCTCTGCATCAATTTCATCCATCAGGAATTTGGTGATATCCTGCAAAGCAATCAACAAATGATTGCAACTCATGTTTTGCACAGTTATCGATGAGTATATAAATATTTGGAAGAGGGAAATCATCCTTAAGACTGGCCCTATTGAGATCTCGATAGTCCACACATATTCTGATCTTTCCATCCATTTTTGGCACAGGCACAATATTGGCTAACCATGTGGGGTAATTTATGACCCTTACAATGTTCGCCTCAATTTGCTTAGTTACCTCCTCCTTGATCCTTAAGATCAAATCCGGCTTGAATTTTCTTGTCTTTTGCTTAACAGGTAGACAAGAAGGATCAGTCGGTAATTTGTGCGAGACAATATCAGTGCTTAATCCTGGCATGTCATCATAAGACCAAGAAAATAAGTGACATACTGCTTAAGCAATTCTATTAACTTTTGGTTTCTTTCAGCCTCCAAATGTATGCTGACTCGTGTCTCTCTCACGATTTCCTCATCTCCTAAGTTGA